TTTTTTATGGAAGGTTTTGTGTAACAATGTCCAACATAACTGCAGTGTTGGGCCACTCGTCTATCTTCCTGACCCCTACTTCACTTGTCTTGAGCATTATATTCTGGAAGAATGGCACTTTTCTTACATCTATATGTTGCCTGTTCTTCTCTTGGATAAAACTGTTGATGTCAGTGGAACTAGGAGCACAATAATTTCTTTTGTTCATATTTATGAATAAATATATTTTTGGAATACTTGAGAACAGAGATAAAGACGAAACAGATTTTTCATGAGATAAAGAGCAGTGAGTATCATCTTTGAGTGCCTGCCAAAAGCAATGTAGATCTAACTTCCTTTAGAGCTCTTTCAGCCTTCAATTGGAAACAGTGGTGGCATTAGAACGTAAGGATGGCTGAATAAACTGTTGAGGTCAAATCTAAAATGACACATTGGTCACTTTAGAAATCATGCCAGTTAATCTTCAGGTTTAGTGTAATCCTCTTGTCTCTTCTAGTTTACAATAATAATTTTGTTACCCCTACTTTGTCAGTTTTCTGCTGTCTGGATTGTTATGATTTTCAGTGCAGTTTAATAACAAAAAAACATTTTCAGTTGTGGATGCTAGTATGCCTTTGATTTTTAAATTGTAAGTTTAAGTCTCAAGTTAGAAGTTGTTATTCAAATACTCCTCCACGCTATTTAATGTCTGTACTTTTTACTTTGCAGGAAGCAGTATGGTTCCTATCTAACATCACTGCAGGAAATCAGCAGCAAGTTCAGGCAGTGATAGATGCAAACCTTGTTCCCATGATAATACATCTTCTAGATAAGGTTAGATAACAAGTTCCTTTTGTACTGTTGGCCACAAGAAAAAAGAGGCATATTTTTGAAATTCCTACAGATTTTAAGTCTTTGTTTTTATATTGGTTTCCCTAGGGACAAAGTATAATAGTATATTTTCATAAATTGCTAGTTACCACATAATCTTTTTGTTTAACAAGCATCTAAATGTCTCTTATTGAAACTTCAAAAGGTGCCATTGATCAGGTTTTTTTTCCCAACTGTTTAAGTTGGTCTAATAAAAGATCAGATTCACCCAAATAACCTTGTCTGCCTATGTCCTTAGACCAACACAGCTACAACCTACACCCCTGCTTCATGCAAAACAATGGTTGTTATTGGTAAGATGTGGTAAAAAGCTCTTTGCTTCCATGTAAAATGAAGACATGGAGGTAAGCCAGTTTTTTTTAAATGTCTGAGGATCTTAACAGCCAAGAATTGGTGTAATTTGTAGTGTCAACCATTGTGTATAATTCTGGGGATGATACCCTTCGTATGAATATATAACCCTTTGCTTCCCCCTCCCTCCAGCCCGGTAACCAAAAGAGATGTTTGCTGATACTATTTGCAAACTTAATTTTGTCTCCCATGTATCCACTCCTTGCAGAAGAGTCCCAAATTATTTTTTCTTTTATTGGTAGGCTACAGAATCAGCAGGTATGTCCCTTTTTAAAATCTTTACCCCTGGATCTTACGCAGAAGTAGGAAACTATATGAGAAAGTAACAATAATTGTAGTAGTTCTGTGCCAGTAACTGTCTTTTGCTGTTAGTATGAAACTCTTCATGTGTGTACTCACACTCCTGAGATTAGGCAGAAAAGCTGGCAGAGCAGTCCCTCTTGCCTTGTATCACCACATCCAGCTTTTTGTGGTGGAGGGAAGAGGCTTGCTGTTATGGTACTAGATTTTTAATGTACTGATTTGAAATTCCTGATTGAGCATGTGTGGAGTACAGTCAGTTTCTGTTTTGGGTTGTATTTCTCTTAAAATATTTCCCATTTTAATACTTGCCTTCCTTTCCACTGAGATGAGAGCAGGGAATAACGTCAAAGTGAATGGAGTGGGGGAAGAGCATGGGAAGTCTTGGGTCTTAGCAGAGGAGGGTGAGGAAATAGGATGCAAAATAATAATAAAACATAGTCTGAAAGTAGCTATTTTTTTTCTCATGACATTTCACTAGTAGTGTATAGAAATTTTAGCACAGATTTGTTTTTTATAGTTGCTGCTGAAACCATCTTGCATCCTGAAGATGAAAGGATGCTGAGTCTATGGTATAAAGTGCTTTTGTTGGAATTTTATAATTGCTATATATACTTGAAATTTTGAAGTTCCAGTACAGTGCTCATCATTATGATATGTTGCAGGCTGCTGATGAAGAGAGAGTGGTACAGTTGGGTGGTTTGTTTGTTGTTTTTTTTTTCCTCTCCATGTCTCTTGTTCCAGAGGGAAGGAAAAACTTTTTCCTCCTCTGCAGCTGAAGACTTTCCAGGCAGGATAGTGCTCATGGGGGTCCTCCAGGCTGCATAGGCAAGAGAAGATGGAGCATGGGGAAGAACAAACTTTCATCATCCTACTTTCTAGCATTTACAAGATACTTTCTTTCTGCCCTTCTCCCCCATCTCCCCAGGTTTAAACTGAGTTTACTATGATAGTAGGTTACTCATTTCCTCGTTTTAAGCCCCCCTATAACAAAACAATTACTAAAATATTATATTTAAGCAGGAGGAATATTTTAAATATGAATAAAATAATCTACAATTGATTATTATTGTCTTTTAGGGTGATTTTGGTACTCAAAAAGAAGCTGCTTGGGCTATAAGCAACTTAACAATCAGTGGAAGAAAAGATCAAGTGAGTAAATGTGTTTCCCTAAAGCTAATGCACTTTTTCCCTTTTGGTGCTTCTGAAATTGTTCAAACACCACTTCCTTGAAATAATTTTTTGGTGAATTAGTGAAATGATATTTATGTGGAAACTTTTTAGTTTCCATGTTGGGAGTGACCTTGACGAGTCCTGGACAAAGGTTTTGTCTGAAGTGCTCTGACATGTGCGTGGCTGAAGTGCTTCAGAAACGATCCTCAGAAGTAAGGAACATCTTTGAAGCACTTCTTAAGCCATCTACACTCCAGCCACGTGTGATGAGGTTGCTCAAGCTTACAGCGTTTCACAGATGGAGCTCTGTTCCTGGCCCCCCCTTCATCATGGATGTTGGGGGGGAATGGAGAGCAATTACCTGTTGCAGTCCCTGGCTGCTGTATGCCATCACGGTGATTTTTTTTTTTTTAAGTGCTTTAGTGGTGGAGGTGGCTGGTAAAGGTGCACTGATGCATTGGTCCGATTATTGGATCAGCACAGATGCAAAGAAAGTTGACTGTATTGGAAATCAAACTTTTTTGCCTAATGTGGCCAGTAAATGCCCTGTGCACGCACAGCCACAGTGCAGCATGTAGATGGTGAGGAGCACAGCCCAGCAGCCTGGAGAGCTGCATCCAGCTGGTAAGTCTGTTGTGGTAGAAGGGGAGGAGGGAGGAAAGGAGTGTAGGGGGAGAAACAAATGGAGGCCCGTGCAGTGAGGGAGGGAATGGGGCTGGGGCAGGGCATGGGATAGAGCTGTGAGCGGCTCATCTAGGTGGCATGTGGATCGGGGGGGAGAGGGCAGCTTCTGTTGCTCTGCGGGTGCTGCTCAGCTGGGCCAGGGGACGGAGCTGTGGCTCATCTGGGGACCATGGGGAGTGGGGGGGCAGCTCCTGCCACTGCATATACCCTGGGAGGGCATGGGGGGCATGGGCCTCTAGATCTGCGCACAGCAGGGTGGGCTGCTGCTGCGGGCTGGGGTGGTACCAGGCTTTTCCCAGGCTGGGTTGGGCTGAGCTACACTTAGGGGAGGGGGAGGGGGGCATATGGTGGATTTTAGGGTGGCTGAAGCCAGGTGCTGCCCCAGCCCGCCCCATGCAGATCTGGGGGCATGCCCCCCCATGCCCTCCCAGGGTGCATGCAGTGGTGGGAGCTGCCCCCCCATTCCCCATGGCCCCCAGATGAGCCGCGGCTCTTTTATCTCCTGCCCCAACTGAGCAGCGCCTGTCCCAGTCCCATTCCCTCCCTCACCACAGGGGCCTCAGCCTCCCCCACTCTTGTCCCCTTCCCCACCTCTTCCACCATGACAGACTTACCAGCCAGACGCTCCTCTTCAAAGCTGCTGGACTGCATATCAGAATTCGGATTGGTATCGGCCAATATGCCTCCTTAAAAATGGGCATTGGCCCATAAAACCTCTATCAGTGCACCCCTAGTGGCTGGGAGCTCTACAATGGGACAGTACTGAAGCACTTCAAATACACACTTGTTGGTGGCCTGGGAATGTCGGTGGAGAGTAACTTTGAGGGCAAAAGATGAAAGTGATGTTATAATACATTACAGTAACTTGCTTAAAAAAAAATCTGTTTCATATCCGATAGGACTCTTGAGCAGTAGGAATCTATATTTTCTTCTAAAAGAGAACAAAAACATGCTTTAAAATCCATGTGAGGAGGAGGAGGATTTATTCACTGCTTTGCTGACAGTCGTCTTTGTGTGTGCATTCTGTAGAAATGGCTGACAGCAGCACATACCAATAAAGCTGGGCACCAGTTGCCAAATAGAAATAAAGTTTGGGTTTGCAAGGACACAGTGTAAACCAAGCCCACTTCAGTGGGGTCAGGCTGACACTACTTCTGGTCTTTGGGATCACAGGGTGCCTCTATACAAGATCTTTACTGCTGTTTCCTAATTAGCTCTGCAGTAAACGTCTCTGCATATATATGTGCAGTGCTGTTAGGATGGAGCAAACTAATCAACTTTGCCATAGGCTAGTACTTGGCTAGCAGTACTGTCCTGTGGCAGAGTTATTTACTCCCCAGCAATGTGCATGTAGATGGGGCTGGCTTCGGCATACGGGTGTTTCAGTTCAAGGGCTGCCTGCAGGCTAGCCCCACACTGGAGCACCCTCATGCCCCAGCCAGCCCCTCTGCAGCATCTTGAGCTGGGGGGAACAGCCCCAGGCTGATGTGCTGACCTCTCAGGCCCCCTGCCAGCCTGGACTGTTCTGACCCAACTCAGCATGCTTCGGTCCTGGGTACAGGTTCAAACACAGTGCTTAGGAGCAATACACTCCAGCATGATATGCGCCAGAGTTTATTGCTATGAATTAATAGTACATGTAGATGGTGCCTGCAGTGTACTAAACTACACTAGTTAGTGGCTTTTCATTGTGTAATCTGAATTTAGAATGTATTTTCAAAGCATAAAATGGATATGTGGGACTGAATTTTTATACATTTTTAAAATGCTTTAAAACATTCTCAAGGTTTAGATGTTAAGGGGCAAGTTATCAACTCTAGCTCTTTCTTGTGTTCCTGAAAAGTGGTGGCTTGTGGGTTTTTTCTTTTCTATATCTTTATTCAGTAACTCTTCTCCTTTTTCTTGCTCTTGCACATGGTTTAATTAAATATTTTTAATTTACATATTGCTCTCTTCTAGGTGGCATACTTAATTCAACAAAATGTAATTCCTCCTTTTTGCAACTTGCTAACAGTAAAAGATGCTCAAGTTGTACAAGTGGTGCTGGATGGACTAAGTAATATATTAAAAATGGCTGAAGATGAAGCAGAAACCATAGCCAACCTTATAGAAGAGTGTGCAGGTATGATGTAAATTATTTCGCACTACAGCTTACTGTAGCTGCAAACATAATGAAAGGTGAAGCCCATTTACTACCTGTTTTGAAATAGTCGTTTGTTGCATATCTTTCTTATTATGCCAGTTTCACTTTGTACTGCTTTGAGAGAATCTCGATACAAACTTGTCTGTCTGAGGAAACCTTTATATAACCCAATACAATATATAAGAAATCCAGTCATGAAAGTGAAGAATCCCAACTTCAAGATATTTTGCCATAGTTTATAAAGTAGTACATTGCTGTGTCTGTCTTTTTCTTTAAGTTGTAAACTTAATGAGTTATTTAAAAATGTATCTGGAAATAATTTGATTTAAAAAAATTATTAATAGTGTTGCCTTGAAAATATGACTAAAAGGTATTATATCTTTTAAATGTTGTGAAATAGCTGCCAATCCACTGGAGTTCTCCATTTAGGAAAAGGAACTGTTTTAATGTTTAAATGATTGCTACAAGTTCTCAGGGAATCACCTTTCTTGCACATTACTTGAGATGAGGGTGATGGTTTTGGAGATCAGGAAATTTTAAAAAGGACAAAGGATTTAAAATGTAAGTGAATCATGTTTAGGAGAGGAGCATCAGAAAATTGAGAGGTGCTTTAGTGACTGAAGAAACTCTGACCTGAGTGAGAACTTCCTGCTGTACTTTCCTGGTAGCTGTGCTTTTGTCTCCTTGACTGGGAGGTACATGCTACTTATTCTACATGACTGCATTATAGTGTAGCTGTCTTAAAGCCTGAGGCACTAATACTGTGATGATGATTACTTTATTTTCCCCAAACTCCTGAACACTTTTTCATGGTTGGAGAATCCCAATTGAGTTGTTACACAGTTAAAAAAAAAAAAAAAAAAAAAAAGCACCCATGCATGGAGTTAATAACA